TTGGTCTGAGGTGGTATTTGAACTCAGATCCTCCTGACTTCAGGGCCGGTGCTGTATCCACTGCGCCACCTAGCTGCCCCTATTTGATGCATTTAAAATCATTATTCTGAGAAAGGAACCATATGCTTCACCAAATTGCCAAATGGGTCTATGAGAAGAAAAAAAAAAGGTTAACTTCTGATCTAAAGTTAGTCAACATAACCCCTTGAGAGCTAAAAAATAAATAAATAAATTCAACCAACCAACGTCTGTTTTGTGTCTCCATAATGTCAAATAACAGGTTTGGCTTTTTCTGCTTAATTGACAGAATATAGACATGTCCATTTGTAGTGAAGGAGATATTAAGACCCAGAATAAAAAGGGAATAATTCAGGAAAAATGCTTCCTTTGTGATTTTTCATTCCCCATCCCTGAGGGGAAAAAAAAAAACAAATTTGGAAAAAATATTTTGGGCTGGGAAGAAAAAGGAAAAAAAAAATCCCTTAATCCTTCTAGTTTTCCCCCCAGTACCTTCAGTAGTAACCCATCTATCATTTTAAAGGTACCCTGAAAATATAAATAAATGTCAAAAACCTCATTCCTGTGAAATGAAGCAATAAAATGTTTTCATGCAGCCTCTCAGGAGGGCATTTTTAATAGATCCATGTGTTTTGGGTGGTGAGGTACAATTCTGATTCCCATTAAAATACATTATGTGGAAATCTCCACATAATTCAGGGATTCTTAATCTCTTTTGTGTTATGGCCCCTTGGCAGTCTGGTGGAGCCTACGAGCCCCTTCTCAGGACAAGGTTTTCAAATGCATTAGACAAAATACAAAGGATTACAAAGAAACCTAATTATATTACAACAAAGTTGTTTAAAAATATTTTGGGGGCAGCTAGGTGGTGTAGTGTATGGAACACTGGCGTCAGGAGGACCTGAGTTCAAATGTGGCCTTAGACACTTACTAGCTGTGTGACCCTGGGTAAGTCACGACTCCAACTGCCTCACCTCACCCCCCAATTAAAAAAAAAAAGTTCACAGACTCCAGGTTAAGAACCCTTGATAAAATGAAAACATGCCTCTGCCTTAGCTGAGGAAGGTCCGGACTTCTTTCCTGGTAGTAGTTCCATTCTGATGCTTTTCCTCGTCTTCTGCAGGAGTATGTTCATGGCACATATCAAGCTCTGATAAGAGGAAAGGCTGTGAAGTAGGCCCAGTGACAGAATGTCTGTTCACCATCCAAAGATCAGCCTGACCAAGTTTGGAGAGGCTTCTCATTGGAAGGCTAGCCACCAAATGCAGGAATTATTTTGGCCAATGCAGCTTATGTGTTGCTGCTGTTCAGTTGTATCCAACTCTTTGTGACCCCATTTGGATTTTTCTTGGCAAAGATACCAGAGGGGTTTGTCATTTCCTTTTCCAGCTCATTTTACAGAAGAGGAAACTGAGGCAAACAGGGTAAAGTGACTTGCCCCGGGTCACACAGCTAGTAAGTGTCTGAGGCTGCATTTGAACTCAGGTCTTTCTAACTGTCCACAGCTCCACCTGGCTGCCCCAAAGCAGCTCATAAAGACTGTTTACTGAAGTAAAACTATGATGGGAGTGAGTGCCTATAGAGATGGAATCTCGGGTGTAGGGTCTCCCCTGAGACGACCTTCTCCCTACTCTGTATGTGTTTTGTATGTAGCTATCTACATAATCATTAGATTATGAGCTTCCTGAAGGTAAGGACCATGGATTTGCCTTTCTTTGTCTCCCTAGTGCAGAATATCGTGAGTTTTTAGTGCCAATGTACCAGAAACATATGGACGATCCCTTTGTTGTGTGTTATAAGTGGACTTGACCTGTGGTAGTCATGAGCAGTAGGCCATCTGCCATTCTGAACACTTGAAGCCTTCCTTGGTAAAATGAACATGGGCTCCTTGAGAGCAGGGATGACCTTACTTTTCTCTGTATATCCTCAGAGCTCAGAACAGTTCTTCAGACATAGGAAACACTAACAAGTCCTTCTCCATTTGTTCATTCCATGAGTTTTCATAGCCTGACCTAAACAGTGGGGAAAGGTGACCCACTCAAGGTGACATAGGCAGTAAGCATCAGACTTGGGATTTAAGCCCAGGTCTTCTAATAGGAAATTTCATAATCTTCCCACTATACCATTACTTTTCCAGCAAATTGTTTACCTCAATGGATTAGACCAATGATTTCATTGGAATAGGGAACTCCCAGGTGAGGAAATTATTGGTGCCAATGTAGACTGGCACCTTCTCTGCAACTTGCAATCTTACAAAGTTGTCAAAAGCACTGAGAGTCTGAATGACTTCTAGGGTCACACAGCCAGTATGTGTCAGAGGTAGGATTTGAACCCAGGTCTTCCTAGCTTCAAGATTGGCTCTCTTTTTTGGTATGAAGCTAAAACTTTGTTAACTTGGGTAATTTATATCCTAAAAGTGCAGTTGTCTTTCTGATTATTGTTGGAGTTAGGTCTAATTGTAAAGAGAACATAGTGAAATTTTCAGACACAGAGCATTAGATTTTGCTAACTCTGAATATAAAGCGTTAAATTTTCCTTGTGCTCTCAGCAGCTAACACTGGCTTGTTTTTCTGAAAAGTTCTCTTCAGTTTGACACAGCCAAAGGGCAAAGGATGATGTGACTAATTTCAGTTCCAAAGAAATGTTCACAATCTTTGTAGAATATTTGATATAACACGTGCTTTTTGGAGTTGAACACAAAAACATTCTCATTGAAAGGTTGCAGTGGGGAGAACATAGGCCTGGATTCAGGAAGATCTGAGTTCAAATCTGGATTCAGGTACTTACTGGCTGTGTGACCCTGGGCACTTAACTTCTGATTGCCTCAGTTTCATCTTCTATAAAATGGGGATAATAATAGCATTTACCTCCAAGAGCTGCTATGAGGATCAAATGTAAAGTGCTTAGCACAATGTCTGGCACATAGTAAGCACTATATAAATGTTGTTGTTCAAGTTGTGTCCCATTCTTTGAGGTTTTCTTGACAAAGATACTGGAATGCTTTGCTATTTCCTTCTCCAGATCATTTTACAGATGTGGAAACTGAGGCAAACAAGGTGAAGTGACTTGCCCAGGGTCACACAGCTAGTAAGTGTCTGAGGCTGGATTTGAACTCATGAAGATGAGTCTTCCTGACTCCAGGCCCAGCATACTATCCACTGCGCTACCTAAATTTAGAGCTAGAAGAGGCTTTAAAAGCCAACTAGTCCAACCCTATGATTTTAGAGATGAGGAAGGTGAGGCCCAGAGATGTGGGTATCTTTTCGAGGGTTTGTTTTTTTTTTTTGCTCACGTGCGGGTAAGACCACAAAGATGGCCCCAAAGGCCACTTCCAACTCTGAGACCCTACGATTCTGTAACCTCATCCAAGGAGTTGTTATTGGGGAGGAAAGCCACCAAGATACCTTGCAATAACAGAGGTGTACTTTTAGAGATGTACTCATTTGAATTCTGAGCTCATGTTCAGAGGCCGAATGTGGTCAGAACTAAACTTGATACAGGATGCTGCCTTTGCCAAAGGAAATTGCAGAGGGATGCCTTAGCTGCAGAACCACGCAGTACACATGGGTCACCCGGAAACCGCTTTTAACCTCCACACTCCTGAATAAACATTGTACCTCAGGATGGGCTTCTTGAAGCGTCTCTCTCTCCACACACACACACACACACACATGCACACACACGTATTTCTTTGACATCTCATTGAGCTAAACATGACTGTAGGGACAAAAATTGCTGTGCTTTGGTTCATGCTGCAGAAATCAAATGCGAAACTTTCTTAATATATATGTTTCATTTAAAGCAACTACCCACCCTAGGAGGAGCTCCTCTTTCAAAGAAGTAACAGTGAGAAAACATGATACAGTGGGAAAAGCACAAGGTTGGGAGCCAGGGGACCTGCGTTTAAATTCCATTTCCATTATTAAACTCTGTGATCTTGGGCGAATCAGTTCAGTTTTCTTATCTGAAAATAAGAACCTTAGACTGGATGGGCCTCTGCGGTCCCTTCCAGGCCTAAAGCTATTATATCCGAATGCCAAAGAAATAATTCATTGTATTTTGTAACTTGTATTTACTGTAATTTTGTAACTTGAGTTAATTCACCTGTAAAATGTGAATAATCAGTGATTCAATAAACATCTATTAAGTACCTACGAACCAATCAATAAACATTTGTTAAGTGCCTACTATGTGCCAGGCTATGTGCCATGACGGCCCACTTTTAGGATGTGTTAGTGATGCAAAGACGTAAATGAAACTGCTCCTGCCCTCAAGGAACTTATAGTCTATAGAGGAAGACTCTCTCTCTCTCTCTCATATATGTGTGTGTGTGTGTGTGTGTGTGTGTGTATATATATATACACAATATACATATATACATATATATATATACACATATACATATATACATATGTATATGTGTGTATATATATATACACATATACATATATACATATATATATACACATATACATATATACATATGTATATGTATATATGTCTGTGCGATGTGTGTGATATGTGTGTGTATATATATATATATACACACACACACATATATACATACACACACATATATATGAATATATTAAAAGTAAGTAATACAAAATAAATGGTTAAGGTAATTGGGGGGGGCTCTCATACAGCTGAGAAAATCAGGAAAGACCCCATGGAGCTTCTTGAGCCAAGGGATTTTCTGGAAGCGAGGAGGTAAGTAGTAGGGGTGGAAACATCCATCTCTTATGCAGAAGGCTTGACAGGAGCAGCCACCACCAAGCTTCAGCTGGAACCTCCCCAGGAGGCTTGCCCATGTACCAAGCAAAGAGAACACATACTTTTCCCCCTATCACACTTGCTGCATTTCTTGCTTACACAAAGGACGGGAGAACAGGGAGTAAGACGATTTGGCTGGATATTTTCTCCTCCACAATAAATCCCTTGGCTAAAAGGCACAATGAAAATACCGAAGATCGATTTCTTACCCGCTGCCACTCCGAATGTGATAAATAGATAATGCACGTTAGTGGCGTAGGCACTCAGGACCCAGCCCAGGGCATTCAGAATCCCTCCAATTATTGCAGTCTTGCGGCAGCCACATGTGTTGATGAACAAGCCAATGAAAGGTCCTGTCATGGAGCAACAAAAAGAATTAGCCATTCGAATTTCACTGCCATTCCTCCCTAATGAAGCCTTACCTGAACACAACTAAACATAAACAGCCTTCATACAGCCTTAAAACATAATAGTTGTTACTATAGAACCTAGAAAGTTTTTTACAACTAGGGTAAAAGTTGGAAAGATGCAGATTTAGATTGGATGTTAAGAACTTTCAAATAATTAGAATGAAATGGGCTGCCTTAGAAGGTACAAATAGGTGGTACAGTGGATAGAGAAGACCTGAATTCAAATTCTACTTTAGGCATTTACTAGCTATGGCACTTAGGTAAGTTACAACCTCAGTTTCCTCACCTGTAAAATGGGGATAATAATAACACCTACTTCCTACAGTTTTTATGAGGATTAAATGAGATCATATATGTAAAGTACTTTATAAATCTTAAAGTAATATGTAAAGTCTGCTTATTAATAGGAAACCCTTCACCAGAAGGGGATGACTGGGGCAGCTAAGTGGTATAGTGGATAGAGCACTGGCCCTGGACTCAGGAGGACCTGAGTGCAAATCTGGCCTCAGACACTTGACATTTACTAGCTGTGTGACCCTGGGCAAGTCACTTAACCCCACTGCCTAGCCAAAAAAAAAAAGTGGATGACCACTTGCTGGTTATATCGTAGCAGAGATTTTTTTTTGTTCAGATAATAGTTGGATTAGCTGGCCTCTGAGGACCCTGACCACTTGTTAATTCTGTGTAATATTAAAAAAACAAACAGTCAAACAAGCACAAACCAGCCAACTTCCAGTAACCTGCCTGAAAGACGCACCTGCTATGTCACTGGTCAAGAAGTGTATGAAGCTTTCTGGGTTTTCTTTGTTTGACTTAAGTATATGTGGTAACGTTCAGGGGAAAACTCTGGATTCAGAAGTGGAGACCATATATTCCAGTCCTGTCTCTCCTATCTATTACTTTGGGCAAGTCACTTAACATCTCTGGGTCTCAGTTTCCCCATCTGTAAAAAGAGCTGGGGTTGGACCAAATGAGCTCAGTCTGAGGTCTATTCTAGCCGTATCTATGTCTAAGAGCCTGTGGGATAGATATGCTGACTCATCCTTTTTACTAAGAATAATAAATACGACAAGGAAACATGGACTAGTGGCTGGAGTGCTGGACCTGGAGTCCAACAGACCTGGGTTAGAATCCTGCCTAGGACACTAGCTGTGTGATGCTGTCTGCCTCAGGCTCCCCATCTGTAAAATGGGGAGAATTATAGCACCCACCTTGATCAAATGATCTAATATTTGTAAGGCACTTTGCAAACTTTAAAGGGCTACATAATAGTAAATATAATATGTAATATATCTAATAATAGGTATGATGTATATTATATAACAATAGATGCAATATGTAATATAACAGATACAATATATTATACATAATAGATATACTGTATAATAGGTATAATATTTTATATAACAACAGGCATGATGCGTAATATATAACAGACATAATATTACATAATACATATTATATATAGTATATAATAGATGTCTATTATACATAATAATACAGGTAATATATAGATATTTTATAGATAATAATAGAGGTAATACATAATATGTCAACTAATGGTATGACATAATATCATACGTGATATAATATTACATATAAAATTATACAATAATAGATATAATATATAACACTTCAAGGTTTACAAAGCACTTTACAAGTATTAATTCATTTGATTTTCATAACAACCCTGGAAGGTATGGGTTATTATCCCATAAGCAGAGATTGATAATGGTTAAGTGACTTGCCCAGGGTCATACCACTGGCTGAGGCTGTATTTGAACTAAGGTGTTCCTGATTCCAGGTCCAGCATGCCATCCACAATGTCACCCAGCTGCTTCTTTATAAATATTAGCTCATTATTATTAAATGCAAAAAAATGTAGTTCCTCTGCCTACCCCCTTGCCTATTTTTCTCAGATGAAAAAGAGTGAAGATTGAATCGCCGTCCGGAGGTCTCTTGCCTTATAGACTCAGCTATCAAGCAAAACATGAGGTCATGTGTATTGTTAGGATGACAATTTGAGTTCTTCAGAGGTTTAAGTCACGTCCAACACTTCATGGCCCCATTTGGGGTTCTTTTGGCAAAGAAAATGGAGTGGTTTGTCATTTCCTTCTCCAGTTCATTTTACAGATGAGGAAACTGAGGCAAACAGGGTTGAGTGACTTGTACAGGGTCATATAGCTAGGAAGTGCCTGACGCTAGATTTGAACTCAGGAAGATGAGTCTCCCTTAGTCTAGGCCTGGCAGTCTATGCACTGCAGCGCCACCTAGCTGCCCTATGACAAGCAATAGCCTCATCTTTCTCCTTTTGAGAATTGTCCTAGGCTTCTTGCAGAGCTGCCTAACCCTACATTCCATTAGAACCTCTTAAAAACCCCAGCAGCCTGAAGTCTATAGTGGGAGTTGGGGCAGGGGGAAGGTGTTGTATAAACCTGAATCTAAGCAGAACCTCTGTTTTATCCCCACATGAGGCAAAATTAAGGATCTGTGTAGAAATATAATAACAGCAACATTTATATACTGCTTACTATGGGCCTGACACTGTGCTAAGTGCTTTACTCTTGCCTCATTTTATTTACATCTATCTATCTATCTATCTATCTATCTATCTATCTATCTATCTATCTATCTATATATGTATATATATATACACACACACACACACACACACACACACACACACACACACACACATATATATATACATATATATGTATATATATAGCTTCACTTTGCTGATGGCTATCTTTGATGGTAATGCATTCCTGAGAGGCCTGAGTCTTGAACATAGTGATGTCATCACAGTGATGACATAATTATTAATTAAGAATTTATCAGTGATTGTTTTTGTTCATCCTGTTATCCTGGAGACAATCTGGCAGTCGATAAACATTTTAAAATAAAGATGGACATGAAGATGGGTAATGACCAATATATCCTAGGAAACTCTTGGTTTCTGATAATAATTAAGGGGAAAAAATGATAAATCTTAAAGTATTTGTAAGATATAGGTGAAAGGCATTTCTTCTGTATCTTTTACAGTGAGTCTAATCTAGACCATAATTACTCTACTATGTGAATGAAACTCTAATGAGTGGGTAAAGGTGTGGGGGGAAACTCATGCTTGTCAGTTTGCTATTAATAGGCCTTTTTAGAATTGAAAAGGCCACTTTCAATGGTCTGATTATATTCCCTATGCTCCAGAAACTGCTCACAAACAAATGTTTCCAATGGACAGTCCATTTTTTTTAATGGTACATTAAAAAAGGATCTTTTGAATTTAATGCCCCAAAAGACAAATGGTAAACTCTGGGATTCAAGGAAGTCCATATCATGTTGAAAAGGAACTTGGACCATATGTAGGATACAAAGACATTCACTGTTAGTCAGTAGCTTAATTTCTTGGGGGGGAGGGGGGTAAGTGGTGCAATCGATAGAATGCAGGGCCTGGAGTCAAAAAGACCTGAATTCAAATCTGGCCCCGGATACTAGCTGTGTGACCCTGAGTAAGTCACTTAACCTTATTTGCCTCAGTTTCCTCATCTGTACAATGAGATGGAGAAGGAAATGGCAAACCATTCCAGTATTTCTGCCAAGAAAACCCCAAAAAGAAGTCATGAAGAGTCAGACATGACTGAAAATAATTAAACAACACCAAAATTTGATTTCTCTGGGCCTTGGTTTCTCCAGTGAGAACCTAGATGACTTTGAAAGTCCTCTCTGTCTCTAAATCTAGTATCTAAAACTAGGAGTATAACCTTAGAAGGCCACCAAGTTCAATGCCTTCATCTTACAAATGAGGAAACTGAGGCTCAGGGAATTTAAGTGCCTTGCCCAGGATCACACAGCTGACATGTATCTGAGACGGTATTCAAAGCCAGGTCTTCCTGACTCTAAGTCCGTTACTAAAAGTGAACACAGACCTTACGCCATCCAAACCCTCAAACTTTCTGTTTAGTTTTAACAAAATGGAAACAGTCCATTCCCCTTCCCAATCATCATTAAAAAACTGACTCCATGATCATGGATGTTTCTTCGCACATGTGGCTCGTACAGAGCCACTTATTGGCAGGAGAGGGGATCCTGAAGCTGAGCGGCCCTCCAGTGAGACTCCAGTCTACAAACATCTCTGTCTGCAAGGGAAAAGCTTCCAGGGTTAGGAATGCTCCTCGATTAAGAAAGGACCACTTGTTTTCTTGTCTTTGACTGACTGGATGGGCAAACCTTGGGGAGGGGAGGAACTCATTGGAGTTTGAGGCAGCAAATTCTGCTCTGTTGAGATCTCAGTGTGGTGGTATGGAACCACTCAAGCATTTTTCCTTTATCCTCTTTTAAAATACTTTCCATTCTCATTGGAAGCAATGCTCGATACATGTCTGGCTAGCTGAGACCAAAGGTTCCATTCACCAAAGAATGACCTGGGACATGGCAGGAGTGGCAGCAATGAAGTACTTCAGGAGTCATCTTGTTCACACATCAAGGCTAGAAGATTTAAGGAAGGTGCCTGTGAAGCTGATGGAGCTGGGTTCAAATTCTACCCTTGACATTCATTACCTGCATGACCCAAGGCAAGTCCTTTAACCTGTCCAGGCCTCAGTTTCCTCATCCATAAAACTGGACTTCACCAGATGACTACTAAGACTTTCTGACTAGGTGGCATAGTGGATAAAGCTCTGGGCCTGGAGGCAGGAAGACTTGAATTCAAATCCAGGCTCAGATAGCTGTATGGCCCTGGGCAAGTCACTTAACCCTGTTTGCCTCAGTTTCCTCATCTATAAAAGGAAAGACTTGGACTTCACTAGATGACCTCTAAGACTCTTTCTGGCTAAGTAGTACACTGGATAGAGCTCTGGGCCTGGAGGCAGGAAGACCCGAGTTCAAATTCAGACTCAGATACTTACTCGCTGTGTGGCCCTGGGCAAGTCAGTTAACTGTTTGCCTCAGTTTCCTCATCCATAAGAGTGGGCATAATAATAGCACCTCCTCCCACAGTTGCTGTAAGGATAAAATAAGTTAAGGATAAAATGAGGAAAGTCCTTTGTAAACCTAAGGTGTTCTGTAAATGCTAGTTTGACTCCAAGCATCACGCTTCTGAGTCTTACTCTGGGACTGGAGGAGGACCTCCCATCATGACCTTGCAGGGATCCTCAGGACAAGAGCTGAAATCTGAAGGCAGGCTCCCACGGCCCCATCTTAGAGTGTTTGTAAAGGACCAAAGTAGAGTGTTAGGATTCCTTATGAGGTGGGGAGAGAAGACCTCTGGCCACAGCACGCCCTCCCTCCTCTTTGTTCTGTGTCTCATTTTGTCTTTGTACCCCAAGGATTGGGCCTAGCGTATACCCTGCCTGTTTGGCCAGATAAAGGAATGCTGGCTGAATGAGGAAGTGATGAATGAGTAGTCCTTCCTTGGTCCCATTCTTTTCCTGAGGACACGAACACAGACTCGCCAAAATCAGGCAGTGAGAGTCTGGTACTCCACCAGCCATAAAATGGAAAAGTTTCTCAACCTGGTTTTCAATGTTTCAGACCCAAAGGCTGACTTCCCAGACTTCAGTGAGAGGACAAAATCAGGCCAATTATGACCCAGGATTTGCTGCTAGACACTCACGCCAAACCTCATTCTTTTCCCCAGTGGCAGCAGGACCCTGGTTTTGTGCGTGAGTGGGGTTGAATGGTCAGGAGTCAGCTTAACCACTTATAGGTTGAAAGCAGCCCACCAGAGCCCAGAGCAGCAGCATGTATGTGTTGTCTGGTGCAGGGGGAGTCGGGCTAGCTCTAAAATAAGGGGACCCGAGTTCAAATCGGGATCTGCTGCCTAGCTAGCTAGCAGTATATTCAGATACGCTGAATCTCCCTGTCTCTCATGGTCCTCAATGGTGTGATGAGGGTGGTTAACCTAAATGACCTCCAAAAGCCACCTAGTCACTAAATCTATGATCTTAGGAAATAAGATTATTCTTTACTTGAACTCTGTTCAGCAAAATGCTTTAGGAATAACTTCCTGGGGCAGCTAGGTGGCTCAGTGGATAGAGCTCTAGCCTTGGAGTCAGGAGGACCTGAGTTCAAATCCAGCCTCAGCCACTTGACACTTACTAGCTGTGTGACCTTGGGCAAATCACTTAACCCCAATTGCTTTACCAAAAAGAAAAAGAAAAAAAAAGGAATAACTTCCTATCTGTGGTTTGCCCACTCACAGTATCACACAGTTGGAAAGGACTTAGGAGGCCCTTTAAACCAATTGCCAAGTAAGTGAAATTCCAGCCCCAGCCACCCATGGTTGTTTTTTCTTTTTATTCCATGAAAAGGAGGCGACTTGAACTGGCTTTGATGTCGTTGTTTCTGGCGCCCAAACTGGGGGCATCAAATCACTATATGGTGCAATGAGTTGTGGTTCAGATATCATGATTCTGATTCTTGTTACCTATAACAACTAGCATTTGTGCAGCACTTTAAGGTTAGCAAAGAATTGTACCCACATAGTCTCACAACAATCCAATGAGGAAGGTGCTATCACCCCCATTTTACAGGTGAGGAAACTGAGGCAGATAGGTTATGTGATTTGCCCAGGGTCACACAGCTAGGAAGTGTCTGAGACTTGAGTTTAAATTTCCTGACCTCAGTATAAGTCACAACTTCCCTGGGCCTCCACTTCCTCATTTGTAAAATGATGGGGTTAGATGATATGATTTCTCTGGTCTTCTAGCTAAACCTATGAAAAATGTTGTTGTTTTTGTTTGTTTGTTTGTTTGTTTTCATTTATATCCCCAGGGTTTAGTACAATGGTTTCCATACTGCTTAATAAATGCATGCATGCATTCACAGGGAAGCATCTTGGAGTATTGAGGATGGGAAGACCCGAATCCTCAAGACCCAAATTCTCCCTCTGACACACACTACCTCGGTGAGAATGATCACGTCACTTAGCTCTGTAGCCTCAGTTACTCCATCTGTAAAATAAGGACAATGATCCCTGAGGGACTCACCTCTGAAATGAGACAAAAGATGTGGCGGGAAAAAAATAAAAAAACAAGAAGTAACTATATGGCTCAGCCTCTATGGGTCTTACCATAACCTCACAACTATCGTTTTTGATGAAACTATACCAAAGGCCTCAGTCGCATAGGGGGAAAACAGGTAAGTGGATCAGAAGTCAATTGGTATGTGACTGGTATGTAGTTTGTGTATTATATGCATAGACCTACAGAGACTACTTTCAATCCTTGCCTTTTCTCTAACTCCTCTAGTAAATTAGAGGCAGCTAGGCGGTGCAGTGGATAGTTAGGAAAACTCATCTGGCCTCAGACACTTACTAGCTGTGTGACCCTGGGACAGTCACTTAACCCTGTTTGCCTCAGTTTCTTCATCTGTAAAATGAGCTGGAAAAGGAAATGGCAAACCACTCCAGTATCTTTGCCAAGAAAAATCCAAATGGGATAAGGAAGCTGGTAAGGGGAAAAGGAGAATTTCGGGGCAGCTAGGTGGTGCAGTGGATAGAGCACCAGCCCTGGAGTCAGGAAGACCTGAGTTCAAATAAAACACTTGACACTTACTAGGTGTGTGACCTTGGGCAAGTCACTTAACCCCAACTGCCTGAAAAAAAAAAAAGGAAAAAGGAAAAAAAAGGAGAATTTCCATGTTATGTCTGCTTATATAGCGTTTCCATGCCCCGTCAGACATACCGACAATGAGCGTGATCCCCATGCTGAGGGAGCTAACCCAGGCAGTCAAGCCTCGACTTTGATGGAATTCTTCAAGCCACTCCATGTTCAGCACACCTAGTGCCATCTGGGACCCCATGATGAGGATATGCACCACAAAAGAGGAAAGGACAATCATCCAAGCCCATCCGCCATCAATGTTGGGGTTAGGCGGATGGGTCTTCTTTTCTCTTGGTCCGTCTTCAAAATCACACCCAACATCTTCATGACTGGTGTACATTTTTTCTACGATATTCTGGAAAATATACAACAAATCATTTCACTCATTATGACAAAGAAAAATGTTTTAATTTCCTTCTCATCCTCTTTCCCTCTCCATCGCCATTCAAGGGCTGCCATCTTGTCAGAACACCACGTCCTTTAGGATGATCTTAGAAAGGAAGTCTGGGAGGGCAAGAGCCACTGGACCCAGATGGCTCTGAATGAGAAAATGAGGCTGGTGACTTTGCACAGCCCTCCTGCATTTAAATACAATTCACTTTCATGTTATGGCATCACCTCCCCAATGTCATGGTCCTCTTTGAGAACAAAGGACAAACAACAAGAAGAAAGGAAGTAGGGGATGGTGGATAGCCCAGTAATAGATAGGTCCCTGAGCACGGAGGCAAAAAGGTCTGGATTAAAATCCTGACTCAGACATTGTGTGACCCTGGGGAAATCATTTAACTTCTCTGAGCCTCAGTTTCTTCATCTGTTAAGTGACTATGATGATAGTACTTACCTCACAGAGTTGCTGGCAGGATTAAGTAAGAGAATATATGTAAAGTGGTTTACAGACCTCAAAACACTATCCAAATGTGAGCAATGATGCATCATCCTGTCAGATTAGCAATGCCCAAACTCGGGGGACTTATGGGCACTCCCAAACCTACAAACATACTCACATAGACACTCATTCGCAAAGCAAAGGCACATGGTGTAGGGGAAAGTATGTTGTACCTTACTTTGGAATTCTCAACTCAGCTGAATGATATCTCCCAGAAAAAAAAGCTTAGGTCAAGCCTGCTGGAAGAAGAACCAGTGTGCGGAGCTGCTCCTGCTGGAGGACAGGGGATATGGCTAGAGAACAGACCCACTTTGAGAACAGCATTGAGTGTGACCCAAAGGGCCAAGCTGATTCTTGCTACAACTAGATGATCATATACTCTGGGTGCACTAAAGTGACAAATTTAGAATTTATTTTATTTTTTCCCAATTATGTGTAAAAACAACTTTAACATTCTTTTTTGAAATTTTTAGTTCCAAATTCTCTCCCTGTCCCTTCCTCCCCTCATTGAGAAGGCAAGCAATTTGACATAGGTTGTGTATGTGTAGTCATGCAAAACATATTTCCATGCAAGTCATTCTGCAAAAGAAAACATCACAAAAAACCAAGAAAAATAAAGTTAAGAAAAAGTATCTTTGATCTGCATTTAGGTTCCACCAGTTCTTTCTCTGGATAGCACCTTTCATCGTAGGTCCTTCAGAATTGTCTTGAATCATTGTATTGCTGAGAATAACTAAGTTATTCATAGTAGATCATCATACAATATTGCTGTTACTATGTACAATGTTCTCCTGGTTCTGCTCATTTCACTTTGCATTAGTCCATGTAAGTCTTTCCAGGCCTTTCTGGGAGCATCCTGCTCGTCATTTCTTATAGCACAGTAGTATTCCACCACAATCATATACAATAATTTATTCAGCCATTTCCTCAATTTCCAATTCTTTGCCACCACCAAGAGAGCTGCTATAAATATTTTTGTACATGTAGGTCCTTTTCCTTTTTGTTTTTTATCTCTTTGGGATACAGACCTAGTAGTGGTATTGCTTGGTCAAAGAGTATGCATGGTATTATAGCCCTTCGGCCATAGTTCCAAATTGCTCTCCAGAATGGTAGAATCAGTATACAACTTCACCAATAGTGCATTAATGTTTTAATTTTCCCACATCCCCTCCAACACTTGTCATTTTCCTTTTCTGTCATATTAGCCAATCTGACAGATGTGTGGTGGTAGCTCAGAGTTGTTTTAATTTGCATTTCTCTACTTAATAGTGATTTAGAACATTTTATATGACTACAGATAGCTTTGATTACTTTGTCTGAAAATTGCCTGTTCATATCCTTTGATCATTTATCAATGGAAAAATGGCTCTTATTTCTATAATTTTGACTCAGCTTTCTATATATTTGAGAAAGGAAGTCTTTATCAGAGAAACTTGCTGAAAGAACTTTTTTCACACTAATGATTACCAACTACGTATTTCAATCTATCCTATTTATCCTACTATCCACCCTGTTTCTCTTTCTCTCTCTCTCTCCCCTTTCACCCTATCCATTCTCAAAAATGTTTTGCTTTTGACTTTTATCTCTCCCCCAATCTGACCTCCCTTGTATCAGCAACACCCCTGCCATTCTCTCTTATCCTCTTCTCTTCTATTTTCCTGTAAGGTAAGATAGATTTCTACACCCAGCTGAATGTGTATGTTATTCCCTTTTTGAGCCAATTCCAATGAGAGTAAAATTCACATCCCCCCCACCCCCATTTTCCCCTCCACTGTAAAATCTCTTTTGGGCCTTTATGTCAGATAATTTACCCTATTCTACCTTTCCCTTTCTCCTCCTCCAAGTGCATTCTTCTTTTTCATACCTTAATTTTTTTTTTAGATAATCATCTCATCATATTTAGCTCACACCTGTGTATTCTGTCTATATATACTTCTTCTAACAGCCCTAATAATGAGAAAGTTTTTTAGCAGTTACAAGTATCATTTTCCCATGTAGGAATGCAAACAGTTTAACCTTATTGAATCTCTTATGATTTCTCTTTTCTGTTTACCTTTGCATGCTTCTTTTGAGTCTTCTATTTGAAAGTCAAAATTTCTATTCAGCTTTTGTCTTTTCATCAGGAATACTCGAAAGTCCTCTTTTCATTGAATATCCATTTTTCTCCCTGAAGAATTATACTCAGTTTTGCTGGGTAGGTGATTCTTGGTTGTAAGCCTAAGTCCTTTGCCCTCCAGAATATTGTATTCCAAGCCTTCAGATCCTTTAATGTAGAAACTGCTAAAGCCTGTATTATCCTGACTGTAGGTTCATGATATTTGAGTTGTTTCTCTTTGGCTGCTTGACCTGGGAGCTCTGGAATATGGCTATAATATTCCTGGGAGTTTTCATTTTGGGATCTTTTCCAGGAGGTGATTGCTAGATTCTTTTAAGGAATTATTTTCTTCAGTGAGCCTTTGGAACTCTTTTTCCATTTGGCCAATTCTACTTTTTTAAGGCATTCTTCTCCTCGTTGGCTTTTTGGGCCTCTTTTACCATTTGGCCTAGTCCATTTTTTAAAGTGTTATTTTCCTCAGTATTTTTTTGTTTCTCCTTTAGCAAACTGTTGACTCATTTCTCATGATTTTTTTGCATCACTCTCATTTTTCTTCCCAATTTTTCCTCTACCTCTCTTGCTTGATTTTGCAAATCCTTTTTGAGTTCTTCCATGGCCTGAGACCAATTTATATTTTTCTTGGAGGCTTTGGATGTAGAAACTTTGACTTTATTGTCTTCTTCTGAATGTGTGTTTTCATCTTCCTTGTCACCATATGCTCATCTGTCTATAGTCAGAGTTTTTTCCATCGTTTGCTCATTTTTCCAGCCTATCACTTGACTTTTAACTCTTTGTTAAAGTAGGGCTCTGCTTCCAGAGTAGAGGGCGCACTGTCCCAAGCTTTAGGATTTTTATGCAGCTCTTTTCAGAGATACTTCTAGGGACCTGTAAATTCTCAGTTCCTCAAGATGCTATGATCTAAGGAGAGGTGTTTACTACTCTCTTGGCCTGCGCTCTGGTCTATGAGCAACCACAAGCAATCTTTTCTCTTCTTTTTTTTTGGGGGGGGGGTATATCTTTTTTCCATTTGGTCAATTCTGCTTTTTAAGGGCATTCTTCTCTTCATTGGATTTTTGTGCCTCTTTTACCATTTGGCCTATTCTGGTTTTTAAGGTGCTGTTTTCTTCAGGACTTTTTTGTGCCTCCTTTCCCAAGCTGTTGACTCTTTTTTTCATGATCTCCTTGTATCACTCTCATTTGTCTTCCCAATTTTTCCTCTACCTCTCTTACTTTCAAAAACCTTTTTGAGCTCTTCTGTGGCCTATTTAAATAATTCATTGATTCCTCCCCTCCCTCTGCCCCCATATGAAATGGACAAAAAAAAACCAGATCTTGGCAAAAATTGTCAAAATTTCCTTGGGAAGCTTAACTGATGCACATCAATGTTGAAACCAAAAAAGCCTAGAAACCACCTCAGCCAGGAAACATCTGATCTCCTCACCAAGCAGAGATATATAGTAGCCAAGAGCAACATTGGTTTAGAGTATAAATTAATTTGTAAACTCTTAACGGAAGAAGATGGTGGAAGATTATGAGTGAGAGACCCTCATAAAAGAACAAGCAATAGAAGGAAAAACAATTGGCAGAAAGTTTGGTGAGAGATTCAACTAAGCCCGATCATCCTGAGAGCAAGCAAGAATGAACTGGAAGGTGGAAAATGGACAGATGAGAAATATAAATGCTTTTCTCCTTTAATCACAAAGGAAACACCACATTCATATCCTGTCAACACAGACTACAGTGGGTTCTGTGAGGAAGAAGAAATGATACTAGAGAAAACAAAGATGGGAAGAACAGCTGGATTAGGCCAAATATACACAAAACTAGACTCAGGCTGGAGATAACTTAATTTTTGAAAGCTTTTTGAAAGATCAATTCTTAAGATAGTTAAATGAAAGGAAGATACCAAACATTTGAGGAAAAATCTCAAGCCTTATTATTATTATTAAGAAACAGGCAACCAAAAATATCAGTATTGACCAAGCCCTCTGCCTATTTTCCCATCCTTACAAAGTTTTTATGTAAATAGTTTACACAAGCATCAACAACATCTCTGTGAAGGTGTGAGAAGGAACCAAGGAGGCTTTTCCAAACAGCATTCTTCAGCAAACAATATTGTTACAGGCACACAATTCACAGAAATGTGTAGACAATATATAATCCCTATTATTGACTATTAACAAAAACCCAACATTTGATTTGGTAGAGCAAAAGGTCACCTTTAAAGGCTGTCTTCCAACAAGGTGATTCACATGCATATGTCAAAATCACACAAAGTTCTCTGAAAGAGATAACAATGGATAATTCACCCAATGATCCTCCTTGTTTGTATCAAGCTAGGCAGAAAACAGGGAGATTTTCCTTAACAAACATA